ACTTCTGAATGTCGAGACGGTTCTGGACCGCGGGCCTTTGGTTCGTGCTGAAGGAACAAGCTGGCAGATGAATTGCGCTTTTGGAAAAAATGAGCCACTTACAGCCTCTCGATTTGCCTTTTCGTCCCTCTTTTTGCCGGGAAGGCGTTTGGTCTGGTGACTTTTCGTTGAATCTTGAAATCTCGAATCTATATGGATCCAGGCTGATGGAGAAAAGCAATCCAGCCTAGACCAACCATCCGTAGATCTCAACCGTCCCGTCCAGACTTGGTCGATTCCTTTCCCCGGGTTGAGGAGCCACCGGCATGTACTCTGTACTGTACTCTGTAATCGAAAACATTGATATCCCAAATGCGTATACGCGTGTCAGTCGTGGACTTAGTCCCCACATGGCCACAAGTACTTCGGACTGTACAGTACTCACTCGTTAAGGTGTGCCTTTTATTGTTGTTTGGATAGCATCGAGTCAGCTGACTCGGGAACCAGGGTACAGGACTTGCGTCCACGTCGAGGGTCATGTACGGTACCGATCTAATTCCTCATACTAGGGGTATACTAAGTCTTCAGTGGGTCAATACTTCCGGTATTCACCTACCTATTCATACTAGATACACAGTACAGTACGAGTAGTCGCTCAGATTGATCCCACGAATCATGGTCGACGAGAGCCCTGTGTGTGTTCCGGGAGTGAGGGGGAGGCGGCGGCGGGCGGGGAACAATTTGATGACACAGAAAAAGGAGCCCTAAACCAGGCACGATGATTTGGCGGGGGGCGAGGGGGGGGGGGGAAGTACTCTATGAGTGAGGCTTTTCCCCTTCCACCACCGCCAGCAGGTTTAATCTCGAGATACCGGATTCTTTGGTGTTGTGGCTTGTGGATAGGTTCGGTCGGTCGGTCGGCTTTGGAGGTCGCAAACTACTTCGTAACTAAGCTAGCTGGCTACCAAAGAAAAGAGGTCACCTGTCGGGATTTTTCAGTGATACGCAAATGCAGCCCATGTCGTACCTGCCAATCGGGATCGAGAGTTTCTGTGGTCTGGAAGGATTTCCAATCCATCGGTACACCTGCGGGGGGAGAGAGAGAAGGGGGGGAAGGAGAGGGGAGGGGGTGTTCTTTACTTCCAGTTGGGTTTCTCAAAAGTTCTCGTTTTGATTGTGTATTGAAAGTCTCATTTACAAACAGAGGTACTTGCACTGTACTAGGTACGGAGGGCTATCTCCGGATTACTACTTGTGGTTTTGCTTGTCAGTCTGCCTGCCTGTCTGCCTGCCTGCCCCTAAGATCTACTAGAAAGGAAGAGAGATGAAGTCACCGATGATCGAATCGATAATCGTCATGTACAATTGGAGTGTTGCACCTGCCAGTCTACTTCTCGCCAACCAGACTGTTTCCTTCTCTATCATAACTATCTGCAAACGCATTGGCCGGGTCACCACTGTCCACACTGTCTTTGACCATTCATTCTTCATGCCACAACGATGCTACATGATGCATATGCAAGCCGGAGAACCCGACTCCCCACCTCCTGCATGCAACGGTGTTGTGAGTTCGGTGCACGGAGTGCACCCACCACCTAAGGCTCGTTTCAAGCGGCAGATGGGGGAGGGGGCATAGGGGCCATTTCTTTTTATCTTTTGTGGAGTCAATATAGCATTGCTTGTGGCTTGAAGCTGTTGCATCTAGACCCAGGCGTCATAGAGGCAAGAAGAAAAAAAAAGCAAATTTGACCCATTAAAATGGTGGTGGTCAGCCAGCTTATCCAAAAGCATGTATCTCATATCATCTTCCATGCACCATGAAGGTCGAAGCTCTCCATCAAGAATGGGGTGTTTCTTCCGGTTTCGCGCCTCAAGGTGGGTGACTACAGCACGATCCTGAATGCTATCACATAGCCAAGGTGGCAGGGACACAGGCATCATCAGACGGTCTCTGTATTCCGACAGAAACAGTGGACAACGCAACATCGGTCGACGTTTGGGGACTGCGCAAAACAAAGTGCAGCCCTCTACGTGGCAACGATCAATGGTGCACATGAGGGTGACTGCAGCCTTGACTGCTTTCTTGTTGATCGCGTTCGCCTCGGACTCATTGCCTGTTCCAATCGGGGAGATTGTCTTTTCTTGTGGCCGGTGTCGTATGAGATTAGCAATGCGTTGCCTATGTATCAGGATTGGATGTTGCAGAGAGAGAGAAAGCATTTGCAACAGATTCTCAATTCGGCAGCAGTTTATGACCACTGCAGTCCCACTCCACGTTAGAGAGTGGAAGAAGCTGCAGTAGTTTCTGCTGCTTTCTGACAGATCGATCCACTTCGTTCACTAACTATGGTCACAGTTTCCCCAGACTTCTTTTCCCCGCGATGCTTGATGATCGTCGCCTCAGTGGACCTTTCAAGATTATCGTCTTGATGAATGATAGATTTCAGAATAGCGAAAATCAAGACGGAGTATGTCACGGGGGTAGAACAGATGAGCAGCCATCACGTGGTCACCATTCAACGTCATTTGTACTCCCCTCCTTGACATTCTATCTTTCCTTCTCTTCCTTCTCCTAAACAACCTCGGAGTACAACAACAACAGCAACAAGAAACAAGAACGCCTTCCAGCGCCTCCCGTCTTCAAACCGGATCAGGTACTTTTTGTGGCTGCAGCTACTGGATCCCGGCTCTGTCGTCGTTGGCCAGGACCTGGCGACTTGTCGATCTCCGGGTCACCAGATCTCTGCGTTGGCCGTTCGATCACAGCGACGAGAGTGGGTGAGAGCAGAGCCCTTGCTCCCTAACCCCCGGGCTTCAACGCGCAGACAGAAAGTCGCCGTCAAAACCCATTCCGTACCAGCATTTAATCTTGCTTAGCGACCTTTGCGCCGATCGATACGGCATCTGTTCCCTTGCGCCCCTTCTCGGTCATTCCTTCGATCTCACGCGTGATCTCTTGGTCCTGCCGGGGATGACAGGATGCCCTTACTATTGATTTCTTTCGACAACTTACCACTTTCTTAGCTTTTGTCCCTTGTATAATCCAGCCATTGGGGATTTCAATCCCGGTCTTTCACCGTGTTGTCGCGCCAGATATTATCTCGATAGACCATGAGGTCAGCATCATCCTCCACGTCCACCAGACGATTGCGCAACATCGTCCCGCGTCATGAGCCTCTCTATAGTTCCTAGAGTTGGCTGGTTCATCTACGCCGGTCTACAGCCGTCAAGTACCCTTTCCATTCGGCCTAGACAACCGCCGCCTCGGTTTCTAGATTAATGCGCCATTCGTATTCCCAGGTCCAGGCCTGGTCGATCGGCGCCTATTCCTTGTCCTTCCCCTCTTCTCTTCCTCCATTTACCCATGCTCGTCACCATTCCCATGTGCAATATATTCGGCTGTCCCAATGAAGTGTTATGTCATGGTAGAATCATAGTGCTCGAGGGTTTAATCTTCCGACCTTCCGCTCATTAAAGAACAGCAACAAAAAAAAAAAAGAAAAAAAAAAAAGAAAAACCAAAGATAACGAAACCGATTAATCCCCTGAGGATGGATAATCATACAGCCTCTCAGCAGACGTTTCTCCCCC